GGCACTTTAATAAAACGCATTTGAAATGTTTCAGCCAGGAATATGTTCACTATCTTATTTACTCCAAAAAGATTCTCTTTCAAAAAAATCGACTACGTAATTATTTGACGTATTGTTGTAATTTATTATACGTACCATAAACTTTTAAAACGTATATATTCACAGTAATGAACGAACAAATAAAACTTCCAAAGTTACGACGTGACATAACTTACTTCGCCATGTTACACACCGATTATACCAATAATTCCTCTTACTCAGTCATGGTGCCATGCAAAAAATGTTACTTCTTTTTTTTTGATATGAAATAAAAGTAAAATTTTACTTAGTTTTATCGGGAATGGTTATTTTTGATCACTCGGTCGCTTCGGTAAAATACACAGACCCGCCATGATGTTTGTGACGTATTGACCGGCATGTGTCCTTTGACCTGATGGGTCAAGAATGCCATTAACCAATCAGAATGCCGCATGGTAATGCCGGTAGAATCCAAAGTTTTCCGAAAGGTAGTGATCATAAAAATTACATTGTGAAAGTAAAGCGATGTCGTAGCACGATGTGTTGGCATCGATTTCAGTTGAAAACTGCATGATGCTTTTTGAAAGAGGTGATTAGCAATTATTAAAAGGTAAAATAGGTCTTGAAAGAAGAGTTTTTACATGATTCGCGATGATATCAGTTCAAATGAATTTTACCAAATCACGCAATAAACACGTCTGTTCTTGAGTAGCGTAAACTGATCATGAACTCCGCTTGACCATGTTACATCAAGGTGGAATTGATTTTGAAAGAATTTTAGCTTTCAATCTATCGCAGAAAGTATTTACTTACAAACAAAGATGTGCTAATTTCACAAAATTGACTAGCCGCTACGTATCGTGCGACTAGGTCTATTGTTTACAAATTATAATCCACGACTGGCAGGATGCGTGTCAGTCGGTACATAAATTATAATAACACTTGGACAATAGTTCTGGTCGGAAGAATTACCGTGGTGGTCGCAAATTTTGAGTGCCGGTCGAGGCCGACCACCGCTGACCAGCGTGGCGAGATCCCTGCGTAGACTAATCATTACATGTACCTTATACCAATATACTACATTAATTGACATGGGTGTGGTGTATGGTTTTTGGAAAGTAAGGAAGATATAAAAAAGTTGAAGAGCCTATAATTTGGCAAATTCTTTTCAAAGTGAATAGGAATGTTGCAGGCACAGCTGTATTAGGAGATTTAGGATGGGCAGATTTAGGCTATATTCTTGATAAATTTAGGATACAGTACTTAAATAGATTACAACATATGGACAATAGCAGGTGGACCAAAGTTGTTTTTATAGAGTTACATAAATCCCAGGAAAATAACTTTAAGCTTATCTGGAATTGGCCAAAATATATAAACAAAATTCTTGTTTCTAATGGACTAGATCATGTTTATGGGACTGAAACACAAACTAATAAACAGTGGATCAAAATGCTTCCATAAAATAAGTGAGAATGAACTGAAACATTTTACAGATAATATAAATAACATGAAATCTTTTGAACACTATTGTTGGATCAAAAGAAATAACAAAAAAGAAAATTATATTAAGGATCCCTATGATCATTATGGCATATCATTAATGTTTAAAGTTAGGTGTAACTCCCTGGATTTAGAAGGAAATAAACTAAAATGGATTAATTACAAAGGAAATGGCATTTGTAAGTTGTGTCATGGTGGCATAGAAGATGTATATCATTTCCTATTTCTATGCAATGCAACATTCCACTTAAGAAATAAATTTTACTCTGATTTGATCAAAATAGTCTCAAATATCGATGCCTTCTCTCATGGGGGATGAATTTCAAGTTTAATTTGCTTTTTGGTAACATTCCATGGAATATGAATTATGAGTTGGGGGACATTGTTTTTAAAGAGCTATGAAAATTTCTCAAACATCTTTGTAAATACAGAAATGAAATTAGTATGAATTCACCATGAGTTTCAGATATGTATTTTTTTTTTTCGTTTCTTCTTCTTTTATTTTGTTGCCGTTCCGTTATTATTATGCTTCTCAAAAACTCACGAAGACTGTTAATGCTTGGTTTGGTTGCATTGGACTGCTGCATTACCACAATGTCATCTGTTATACATCTAATTACAGTAGAGTTTAGAATACCGCCAACTTTGCATGACGGCAGTATACATGTTCCTTTCCTTCAGTGCAGTACTTCGCTGTGTACTTTTTATAGGAAGCAAAGCCTTCTCTGGGTTTAGATATGAAAGATAAATTTTTTTTCAGACTCCTGAGCAAAGTAAAATGGAAGCACATAAGATGGCCAATGAAGAAGAAGATGCTACAATCCAGTATTTGGAAAAGAAATTGAAATTAAACAAGAAGAAATTACAAGCAGTATTTAGAAATGATGGTTTGGATGGTATCCTTTTGATAGCAATATTAGATTTAACAATAATATAGTAGAATATTCAGGCATTGAGGAGAGCATTTTACAGGTTGTAAGTACAGTTTTGTTACCTGCAATGTTGCAGCGTTTTCCTTCACCATATTGTGCAGATTTATTGGAATTTTGTGATTCAGAAAATAGGGGAACTTTACTCGACATTGGTGATGGAGATATGTTTAGGGAGGAAAGCGAATCAGATGAGGAAATTACTGAAATGCCTCCAAAAGTTTTAAATGCTAAATCAAAAACAAAGGTGGAACAAATAAATGATGAGCGAGATGAAGAGCAACATGAGGATGATGATGATAATGATGTTGATGATGATCATGATGATGAAGAAGAAGAAGATGAGGAGGAGGAAGAGAATCGAGAACATGGTGATGAATTTTCAAGCAGTGAGGCAGATAGTGGTCAGAGAGAAGATGAGGATACAGTAATAGATTTACCAGAATCTAAAAAAGAGACAGAAAAAAACACCATAAAGAGGAAAAAAGTTATACATGATGAAGAGCTCCATCTTAAAAAAAAGCAAAAGCAAAAAATAGAAACAGATGAAGAATTAGTTGATGAAGTTAAATCTGTTTCCAAATATGAAAATGAAATCAAACAGAATGTGAAGGAAACAACAAGAAAAAGGAAAAGGAAAGGTCAAGTCAAATATGATATATATGGTCGTCCAATTGGTGGGAGTAATGAGGAAACTGGGGTGTATGTACCGCCACAGCAAAGAGCACGAATGATGGGAAAGGATGAAGATAGTCAAAAGCTGGACAGACTGAGAAGACAAATAAAAGGGCTATTAAACAGGTAATGCATAACAAAAACATTTTCTCTTTGTGTTGTAAATTGTGATCTATGCCACAATTGAACATGAGCAGAACATCACTGCGTAATTAACAGCTCCTATCTTTCATATTAACCCTTTAAAGGGGAACCGGTACTATAAATAGAGACAAGATGGCCACCGCAATTAGTATGTTAATCCGAACCAAGCCGCTCACATCGTGGCGGGAGCTCCGGGAAATGTGCCATTTATGATGTTTAGAGATCAAGCTGTGATTCCAAATACATTTCTACGGGGGCAATGAATATGTAGGCTAGTGATTACACTTATCTGGTTGGGCTTTT